TCTATAGCCGCTCCGCCGTGGCGTTGTAATCGACATTATCAGCTCAAGGGGGTGCGGCAATCGGTCAGGTTCCCCCCACCCACCCACCCACCCGCCCCCCCCCCCCCCCAATATTATTTGATCTGTCTCGCAAGGTCACCAAACGTTACCGGCTCTAATTAAGTTAAAATAAAACGTGGAACGTACATTAAAGAGTTTTCATTAAAAAAACAATTTTAAACCGCTTTTAACATAGATTTGTTGTTCTTTGACACTGTTGTTGAAAACATATTTCAGAGTGGTTGTCAAGGGGGCCCTAACTCGTAGCTTTGTCCACCGGGGGTGGAGGGGGTGGGGGCATCCCCTGCCCCCAAGCTCATTACACGACTGCCTCTCATCTGTGTTTTCGAATTGTGTATCGCGTGTTGTTCGGTGCGATGTCCCACGCGTCGCTCCACGTGCTGCAAACGCTCAGTCGCTGAAGAAGCTCCCAGCACGTGGAGCGAAACTTCGGGCAACAATGCCGAACAACACGCGGTACGAGTCTAAAACTCGTCTGACAGCAACATCAACGTCCGTTGCGTGCGACCCTCCACGGCCCGTCTTTCCAGAGTTGATCAATCTACCTCGTCCACAAATGTAAATTACGTTGTGATACACTGCACGCGTCTGATTGCGAAGCAACGTGTACATGCGTCCCATGACGCATAATTCAGCACTGATTCAAATTAAGATCCGGGTATTGGGGATTGCGTGTACGTGTTTCTCACGTGATTGCACAGCGCAGATTTTAATAACTAAAATTGCGTGTGTACGTTGAGTGTGTGTAGCAATCATCAGGCGCGTGCAGAGTGTAACGGGCCTTTACAAAGTGTGATCTGCTAGGACGCATTTTAAACGAGCCACATTGAAAGCATCTGCTGGAACGAATTACATGAAAGCGTAGCGCTCATCTTCATTGGCCGATCTTCGCTGATGGGGACCAGCATGTCCATTGGATGACCACGAAAACAAAACAGCCGCTTACAAAACAGTTCAATTCAGTCAACACAAATGTCAGAAGGCATGGTTATGAATGCGTGCCGTATTAACATTAACAGAAGGCACCATCAGGACAACGTTGTGTTAGAGTAAGATGCAATCTTTTTAAGCAAAAAGTTCAAATATATTTTTCTACAAAGCAACCACAAATGACAAATGTGTATGAGGTTATTCCGCGAGCTGACACGAATACGGGAGCTTTCATGTTCGCCGGAGACCAAGTTGGTTCACCTTAAAGTTGGTTCATCTTAAATAATATTCTCAAAGCTATTTGACCATCCATCGTATTGCACGTGTATTAAGATAAAAACAAGTGATAGGCAGGTAAGGAGTCACTCCCTCATTAACTCGATCATTCATATTCGGGGTTACGATCCACGAGTCGCCTCCATCATTTTTCAAGTGTCGTTTGTACTGCGTCACTTTTTTCAATTACGTGTCCGCTTTAACTCACTTAATTGACCTAAACGCAGCGTTCCATCTGCATGCAATTTACATAAATCTTACATCGCCGATGCTGACGTGCACGATTCCACGGAACGTGGAATAAACGTTACCTGGCAAATGTACGCATCGCTCCGGGCCTAATAAACAAGCCCGCATTATTGTCGGTTAAATAACAAAGACCAAACATTATGATAACCAACCCTCGTAATTTGACAACAAGGGACAGAAAGAAATATAGTAATTTGCAAGATTGTAAAGTTAAATCAGTTACTATTCAATATAAACAAAGCGCTTTTATAATGCATCCTGCCGGAAAGGGGAATGCACTCACTTGAGAGTGTAAACTTTGTGCATTTGACACGTGGAGGCTTCACTTAATAAAAACGCAAGTGGCTACTGCTCAGAGAAACAGCAGAACCAAAGCGGATCCTGCTTCACTTTACACGTTTTATGAACCCCGTGTTTTTGATGTCACCAATTTGTTTGAAGTCCACCATGGTTTCATGTATTCCATTTTTATAAGCATGTTTGCTATTAACCCAGGAGGGACCGTTGTTCCTTGGATGACCTAGCCAGAGCAACAGGGGCGGCGCATCTCATCACGTGCCCGATACTGGAATAAACATGCGACCGTGGTGGCAGGAGACAAGATGAAGATATTAACCCAGAGCACAAGCAGGGCCGATTTTTCCAGTCATCACGCTTGCCATCTTTTGGTCCTTGTGGGACATGAAACTGTATGTACGTTAAATCTTGACTTAAAAGTTTTCGTGACTGCAGGAATTCATAATCGTTGGGTCTTTCGGTAAAGTCACGTAGATATGTTCAAAGCAAATAAAAAAAAATTACTACGACCTTTCGACCGCTTGTGTTGCGATCGAAACGTCGAATTTTTTTTATTTGAACCTATCTACGTGACTTTACCGAAAGACCCCAAGAATATGCAGCATGTACGTTGAAATTCTTTCGCACGGTACGTATAGCCCACCGTGCTAATCGGAGGTGTAAGGACAACAAACTGAACACAAAAAGCCGTTCTAAAGAAAAGAGTTTTCAAACTACATTGAGAAGTGCACAGAGCCCCAGTGGCTTTCCTCATATCGGGAGGAAGAGCGTTCCAGACGGCCGCAGAAACGCGCGTGAGCGATGCAGGTTGGCCGTCTTTTGTCGCGATGGTTAAACCCCCCCCCCCAAAAAAGCCTCCGATGCGTTGATGACCGGAGTTGAGGGCACGCTTCATGACGGCGGGGGTGGTGGTAAATGATGGCAAGGCAGCAGCAGCTGCAGCCCACCACTACCATCACATCATCAAAAATGTTATCGTCGTTAAACCCCCCCCCCCCCCGGAGCTCGGAGCGGCCCTCCTGCGGTTTGGCAGCCAGCGAAGGCGCCTCGCCCCCCCCTCCACGCACGGGAGGGCCTTGGAGGGGCAATCGCCCCGAGGCTCAACGACGGAGGGCCCTGAAGCGGCCACCCGCGTGTGGCTTGAAGGGGCGAAACGTTTGATGGAACCTCTCTCTGTACAAGCTCGCTGTTGTGCCTCCGCGTCACCCGTTGGTGCCGATTCCATCCGATGCAGCGTCAACCATTGGATTGTCGGTGATCCAGGACGGAGATTCACGTCGGGCATGTTTGTTTTTGTAATGAGAGAGCGCCATCTGCTGTATTATTGTTGGGGGTTAAATTACCTTATACAGTCCACGGTTTAGCTATAGTAGGATTTATATCTGGGGTAAGGGTGATTGGGCGGATCCACCAGGGAAGCCTCTGGAACGTTCCCGAAGGTTCCAGGAGGGGCGTGGCCAGAGGCGGGGCTTAGGCGCCGGGGAGCGAATATAAGTCGGGGGCACAGCAACGTGAGGGGTCGGTGTCTGAAGGCCACGTGGCGGCCTGACCTCCAGCCGCTCAGCCGCTCAGCTGCTCCCTGGCGCGCCGCCAGCCAGCGGCGTGTTGGGTGAGCGGAGTGAGCGCCACGTGGCGCGGAGGCAGCGCAGCCACCCGAGCGGGTGGACATCCACGGACATAAAGAGAACCGAAGCTGTACCGAAGATTTATTAATAAACAACTTAAAGTCAATTACCATGCCGGAGGCCACTCATTACATTTCTAACGATGAAGCGAGACTACGAATTGAATTGAAATGACGTCGAAGTGTGACCACATCTCAATGTGATGAGCAAAAACAGTGGACAAATGTCACAAAGATAAGGGAAACAATAAAATTAATGGTAGCGCATGGATTGTGGAATGCTTTAAAACGTGCACTTTTGGTCATAAACCATATCGTTTGAATGAATGCGTATTTTCTGCTGACGAACCAAAAACGTGGACATTGAGGAAAATGTAACACAAACTGAAACATTTTGATTTATAGCTTTCGTGACTGCAGTAATTCATATTCTTAGCTCTTTCGGCAAAGTCACGTTGAAGGGAAACAATAAAATATAAAACAAACCGACACACCTGATGACGACCGTTTGTGTTATGGTCGAAACGTCGTGAGAATGTTTTATATATATTTTATTATTTTATTGTTTCCCTTCAACGTGAGTTTACCGAAAGAGGTAAGAATATAAACTGAAACATGTAACGATGCATGCTTGGAACACACTGATAGAAAGTGCAACATAGGGTTTAGGGGACATACGCAGAGAAATTGCCAAGTGGATTAATGTCGCAGCAGTGGCTTGCAGAGGTCTTAATTCAAAAGTGGATTTGTTTTTATATTTAGCTCAGCATCGCCAAGCTTTGGTGAACCTATTTATACATTTGGCCAGTTTTCTATTAGTCACCGTGACCTGCCACAGACAGATAAGGCAGGGCCGATGCATCCTCACTTTCAATCATAAAAAAACTTTCAAAGGGATTTCAGCCTCGACTTGAAGGGAAGAGGGTCGACAGCATAGGTGGCTGGGGGGCATCCCAGACTCGTAGGGACGAGCAGAGGAAGAGTCACTTACCACTCAGTCGATGTTTGCCGTGGGCTTTGACAGAGAGCCTCGGTTTCTGGAGAAGTTGTGTATGAAGAATGTGGTTAAAGGCATGTGTGGATAAACGTCACTGAACGTTGTCCAGAGATTTAGTTTCAGTAATCAAGACCTCTTCTTTCAAATGCACAGCTTTCACCAGCAGGATTCAGGTGAACCTATTCAGGTGCGACCAGGGCAGTGTGTGTACTGCTCATGAAGATTGATGGGGAGGGGGGGGGGCGCATACTACGGCGACAGCCCCGCTGTGTGAATGCGGGGAGCAGGAGACCGTGGCGCGGATCGGCGTGGACAGGGCTGACTGGTTGTTGTGGTTGCCCTGCACGTGCTGGAGGCTGTCACGTGGTTCTGTGGCTACGTGGGCTGACGTGCACTCACAAATAACATCGACATAACGTGTGTTTAATCATTGTTTCTTGTCTATCTGGCGCTCTGTGCAAAAGCCACGTGTTAAAGCATTCGTTAAATACAAAACCCAGCAGGAAACATACTCAAAGCTGAGTTAAAGAGTACATGGACTGAAAATTCGCAGTCAGGAATGCAGAGTGTGTCAAATCTAATTCGTTTATTAAAAGGAAAACATTAAACCGTACAGTTCGTTCTGCTATAACGTGTTTTCATAACGCGAAATTAATATATCACGATTAATGTATTGGGGAACGCATTTTTATGACGCGGATCGGAATTGGCAGTAACGCGATTGGGTGAACAGAACTACGTCGTGCGAGTAGTGAATAAGCGGTTGTACGGCTGCCTCGGTGTGGCATCATCACACAAGCGCGGGATGCTGCTGGATGCTTTTAGATGCCACCCTTTCGCCTCAGTCTTTGTTCAGCCTGCGTACACATCTCACGTGTTATCACGGTCTGTACTTTACAAATTATAATGCAATGACCCTTCTAACCCCTTCATTGAATCGATGGTCATTATAACACGATTTATCCATAACGTGGCGTTCTTCAGAATCGTAATTACCAAGTTATAGGAGAACAGACTGTACATTATTTCACGATTTTGCATTATCAGTAATAACAATAAGACCCAACACATATGTCTAATACATTGAAGAGGCAAGGTTGACGTTTCGGTCAGTGGGAAACAAGGGTCTTTGCCCCAAACGTCAACTTGCTTTTGAAAAACGTGGTGGGTTTTCAGAAATAAAAACGAACACGACAAACCCGACCAAAATATAAAACGAAGGCGCACAAGCAGAGGTTAATGCTAGTGTTCACTTGAAATGTTTTCTTTTAAAAGGCGTCAGCATATACGCTTCAATTGCCATGACACACGTTTACCAAGTCTCGAGTTTGGTGGCAGCGATGGTCGTGGCAATAATCGTTGTGGTAATCGTTATGGTGATGGTAGAGGCAGTAATCGTTGTGGTAGTAATGCTAGTGGTCGTAAGTAGTGTGGTACTGATGGTAGTAATCATTGTGGAGAAAGTGGTCAAGATAGTGGTGGTGGTTTGAACCCCAATGGAACTGGAGGAGGACTTTAGATTCAGTGTAAACCTCCAAGTTTGAAAGTTGTTCTGTATATATAAACACGATTGGCTTTAAGTGAGATGATATATTTAATAGTTGACAGCCATGGCTTTGAGCTTATTAGGTGTCATGAGCTATTCAGATGACATTAGCGGAGTGCAGTTAGTTCATAGATTCCTCATCGATAATACCAATTGCAAACTTTGTGCAGCTGCGGTCGCGACCTCACCCTGCAAATCTCTTCCTGATTAAAAAAAAAGTGCATCCTGAGCAAAGCGTTTTTCTCTTTTGGAGTCTTTGCTCGCATCCCCAAAAGTGCTGCACCGAAAATCCCAGATAACACGGTTCACCGTCTCTGATGGGACAGCTGGTCGCATCGTCTCCCGAGTCACAGATGCTCACCACTGTTGTTCACTGTGTCTCGCAAAATACGATGTCCTCGTTCTATTCACACCTCCTTGGATGCCAGTTGTGTGAATATGCCCTCTGGCGATAACATCACTGTCACCTCTGATTAAGTTTATTGAACACAAGTCAGTTGCGAGTTTGGTTGTAAGTGAAAAGTATTGTACAGCTGCTCTGCGAAAAGGCAGTTTGTGGTGTATTTGGTCCAAAAAGACTGCAAATAGTGAGGAATGTCCAAATAATAATGCAGAGTAATAAGCAATGGATCTCATAAATTCATAAACAACCCGGTACCTAAAACAAGGAAACATGCCCCATGAACCATACTATTCAAGCAAATTATAAGGGAACGATTTTGGCATGGAGCTCATGGATATCATGTAATTGGAAAAAGTCCATAAAATATTGTAAATGGCTGTAGAAACTTATTAGATAAGGTGCTTTCTTCATTCAACAGCCTACATTTATAGTCAAAGAAGAGCAATTACCGAAAAAAAATAACTAAATATTAAACCCCCTCAGGTAATGAAATGAACATTACCTTAACACAACTAAATTACTCGTGTGCCTCTCAACTGCAGTATTTAATATTATGTAAATATTAACTTCTCCATTGTGTTCTAAATTTCTATGGTTCCCTCCTTGAAGCTTAATAAACAGAAGAACAGATGGCACTAACTTTATGACATTGTTTTAAAACACACCAGTCTGGAAAGAACAACACTCGGTTCACGAACCGGGAGGGTTGTTGTCGACACGTTAACTCGTGGAGATTCGAATGACTCAGAGGCGCGAGGAACCATAGCCTAGCGGGAAAAGCAGCCAGCTGGTTAGCCGGCACCAAACAAGGTGTTATCGGCGAAAAATACGGTGTATTCAGCCAATTAATGTTTACATGTGTAAAGACAGTACAGGGGACTAGCGGTCACAGAGGGTAATGACAGGGGAATTAGCAAAGGAAGAGACTAGGGGCCACAAGGGGTAATTACAGGTTAATGGATAGACAGGGGAACGAAATGGGGCCTACGAGAAGGATCGAGAATAGGGGCTGTGGCCAAGTGATAGAAGGGAGCAGGTGCGGATCAGGGACCGAGAGCCATCGAGAAGGTTCTAGAGAAGGGGCGTGGACACGGGTCAAGGGATGGCCACACTGAAGGTTAAAGGGGTCGAGAGGAGAGGCTCGAAGCCACTGTTGGAGTCTGGGTCTTCGCCTGTCACGTGAACATGTCTTCACTAAAGAGCATCGCAAGAACCGTGTCTCCTGGGGTCGTTATACATGTGGGAGAAAATCAGAGCATCTAGATTGAGCAATGCTATCCCATACAGTTGATCGATATCTCCTGCACACCCCTCTCCTGGCTCCAGTCCTATCTCTCTTCATGTACGTCCTGTTTCTTTCAACTACTCTACCTCCCCTTCCTCCACCATCACTGTTGGAATCCCCCAACGGTCTGTTCTAGGACACTTGCTATTCTCCTTTTATATCTAAGCCTCTGGAAGCCGTCATTTCTTCATTTAACTTTCCGCATCAATTCTTCGCCAACGACACCCAGATTTTATTTTCCTCTCCCTCCTTACCTCTGACCTTGCCTCACATTTCAGACTCTTTGGTCATGTTCCAATCCTGGATGTCACGCTACTGCCTCTCCATCGATCCTTCCAAAACTGAAATCCGTTTCTTCCCTTTTCCACGCTCCCTTCATCACTGTGAAACTATCATGTGCAAAGATCAGAGGGGGGTTAATATAATCGTATACATTATAATGGATTATGTTAATCTAAGAATATGTAGTCCATATTCCCGGTTGGCTTAGTCACAGTTAATCCGTGCACCCTGCTCTGATATTTTCTACCTTAAACACTGCTACATTCTTCGCCATCCTCAACTGCGATTTCTTCTGCTGCCCCATCCCCTGTAGTCCTCTCCAACTATTTCTTGAAGATTGCACAAATTCGTTCAACCCTCCTCACTACCTTCCTTCCCGGCAGCATCATACCTACTTGCCCCTCTCCTCCCTCCCACAATTCTGCATCTACTTTTAATTCCTTTTCCCCTGCTTTCCTCTTGGAGCTGTCCAACATCATCTCCAAATGTCACCCAACCTATTCCTCCCTTGATGTCATTCTTGGCAAGCATGTTCTGCAACTGCCAAAAGGTGTGTTTGTGAGTATTTAATATTTATTTGGTGTTATTTTAGTCTTCTGTTAATATTTCATCCCTTCTGACCAACACAGCATTGGCCATGCTCCCCTTCACTGGAACAAACTCCCACTGCACATGAAACAATAATCTTCAGTAACCTGCTTCTGTTCCTCCCTTAAAACCCATATCTTCCCCCGAGCCCATCCGACTGCTACTCCCTACGCCCCTACCCCCAGCTACGACCAGGCACTACCCCAACCCGTCAATACCCCTACCACTATCACTACCCCAATCCCTCCTTAACCTCTTCCGCCTGTTCTTCAAACTTTCGCCATAACTCCACCACAACTTTTCAGAACCCCGCTCTTTTTCACAACCACATCTAGATAAGATGGAACAGGTGGAGTCCACATGCTGATGAGAAGAACAACATTTCTGTAATCCACCAACTCTCGCCTTTATAGTGATGGATTACAGGTGTGTGCCACCACCGCCAAACAGCTCTGCTACAAGGGAATTCGCAGAAGATTCACCATGTCGCCCATCAGTTTCTCAGATCCAAGGAGGGGTTCACCACTGAAGGCCACCAGCCGGAATCCTTCAAGCTGAAACAAACCAACAATCAGAATCAGAATATTTATTTATATTGCAGGAGGAATCAGATGAGCTATGAAGCTCTTTTTCACGGATGTCCAGTAGGGGCGGGTAATACTTGGTTGATAACGCATTACAGTATAGGTTTCTCTCGCTTTATGCGGGTTCGGTTTGTCCGATGTCGCGCTGTATATGCAGCTAACCTATTTCTACCCAAAATTCACTATATGCAGTTTGAATTCACTCAGATGTGGCTATGTGTTAGGACGTGAGACAACATTGTGTGTGCATACTGTGTGTGTACTGTAGGGAGCGGTACTGCAGTGGTTAGCGCGCTGCGCTACAAATCCGGCAACCCGAGTTCGGTTCACGCTCACGGCCAACACCAGCGACGATTATCTGAACCGGTATTGAGCCTCCCCTACGTTGACTCAGCTTCAAATGAGTACCTGGTGCGGTGTGTAAACATCGCCACTGGGGAGACAAAGGCGGCCGGGCGTGGTACTGCCCATCCACCCCCTTGTGTGCCGTGCTGGCCTTCGTACGTGCTCACTACCAACACTTGCACCAACAGTCTGTTAAGGCTATATGGGGGATCCTTTTTCTTTGTGTACTGTGTGTACTGTATGCGCTACTCAGCAGGGAGCTGTCTCCTCGTGCGGTTTCGCTTCATGCACCCTTTTCTTCGGACATATCTACTACTACTGCTACCGCATGGAGCGAGGGAAACCTGTACTCACTAGCTTCAGTGGCACCTTTGGTATCATCTCACCACCAACATAACCACCACCACCACAAAGACAAAGATCCCTCGTATAGCGTTACAGACTGTTGGGGCAAGTGCTGCTAGCGAGCACCTTATGAAGGCCGGCACGGCACACGAGGGGGTGGGTGGCCAACACCACGCCTTTGGCTCCCTAGTGACGATGTTTACAAACAGCACCAGGTACTCAATTGAGATTGAGTCGACCTAAGGGAGGCCCAGAACCGGTTCAGATAATTGTCACCGGTGTTGGCCACGAGCAGGAATCGAACACGGGTCGCCAGGTTCGTAGCACAGCACGCTAATCGCGATACTACCACTCCCTCCGCACCACCACAACATCTATGTACACACTCATTCTGGTAGAACTGTTGGCTCTCCAGGTAAAATTGGAATGAAAGCCCCTCCCACCACCTGTTATCACGCTAGCAATTTTTGATGCAGATTGATGCCCCAAGTGTAAAAAATAGTAAATCTCATTTGCTTTACTCAATGCCAATGCGTGGAAACACTTTTAATTTTTTCTCCATGTTAGATCACGCCCTCTCAAAACAAACACATTTTCATTGACTTACTCGTCCTTGTACTAATGTTGGTTCTCAAGTTATCATCAGATTCACACACATACAACAATAAACGGAATGCATTATATTACATTGATTGGTCAATGTCAATTCGACAAACCAAAAGAAAACACAACGCCATTTGTATCTTCGAGGAAATACATCAACTGTTCTCCCATGTGTGACCAGAGGTGAGAATAGTTACATGCAAAAGAAGTTCAACATACACACAAAATCAGCACGTATGTGGGCCATTCAATGGTAACAGGCATATTACACGTGGTGATGTGATGGTCTCATTTACGTATCACACACAGACCTGCTGTGTGATGATATTTAGGTTCTATAAGAGCCCTAATGATGCTAATGTATGTTGAACTTCTTTTGCACCGTACTTAGGCAACTTTCCTAATCGGAGGTGCGGGAGAAGGACAAACATACTAAAACACACGCAAAAGCAGTTCTAAAGAAATTAGTTTTCAAGTGTAAAAATGTGTAATTCAGCGTATGTGTCAATGCTGTATGTAATTCCGTCGCCGGAGAAATCACCGCACGTAAACACGTTTGGATGCGGCTGAGAACAGGCCTTCTTAGGCGTAACCTGTACTCAAAATACCTTGTGTCTCAGCTTATCACACACTTCATCCACGGTGACACGCTGACGCTCGTTGATTTTGTACAGAAGAGTGCGATCTTCAGAGATGATGTTGATCGTCAATCCTTGCTCTGCCATCATTCATATGAGAACAATAAACACGAGTGAAACATGTAAAATGTGTATTATATAACTAGAGCAATCCCACAAACATCTTGTACGTACGTTCGAACTTCTTTCGCACCGTACGTAGCCAACCGTGCTAATCGGAGGAAGGACAACAAACTAAACACAATCAGCAGTTAAAAAGAAATTAGTTTTCGAACATGTTATATCAGCATAAACAAGTAAAGAGATTACCACTGATAAGATTCAAAATGACAAAAGAGTATATACCCTTGCCGTGAACACAAATACCATGAACACTTTTAGAAGATGAGCGATTATTTCTTCTTGAAAAGACATAACATTTTTTTTATGGAATTGTCTATTAGTAACATAATAGTGTTATTTCACAGTAACAAACACTGAAGTTTGTAAATTATAAAAAAATATTCAACACATTTCAAAACATCAAATGACATTCATAGCTTAAAGGTTACACAAGTAAACCTTTCAAATGCATTATTTATATGCCACTGCCTTAAATGCAAAGAGTTTGGCACTGTGCGAGTCACATGAGCCAAAAAGCATTTATTTACAGCTCTCTTGGACTATGCATTGCAATATGCCTCACCTTGCAAAAAAAATGCACTCCTCGGGTCAAACTTAGTTTCAAAATATAATTGCTACCATCGCAATATATTAAGTCCGGCCTATAAATTGTTACCCGTAAAACTCAAAATTACTCGGCTTTATTTTTAGAGTGGCTTTTATCGCCGTTATTGCAATCGCGTACGCATTTAAACACGTGCGTATTTAAACACAAATGAAAAATTGAAGGTACACACAGAAACATGCAGAGATGCATGCTTGGAATGGCATTGAGTGACAGTAAGAGAAGCACATGGATTCGTAGCAGTGGATTGATCATGGCTGATGTATTTGGTACTTGATATATTCAGAGCAAAGTGGATCATGCATACGCGATGATAATTTAAACGTATGCTTGATGTGATCACATTCAATATAAATTCTGAAGCTCATGATGCATACATCAAATTGCATGATTTGTTGGCATTCGTGTATACGTTGTTAGTAATGAGTTCACAGCTCTTGTGCTGCACATAGAGGCAATACCATTCACCGTGATTTAAACAAAGTAATCGAATCGCAATAATGTTTTGAACTGCCAGGTACATATATCGATCCAATCCAAGTATATATCCTGTTTTTATAAACATTTGTGCAAAATAGAAGTCTATCATTAATTAGTTCTGCTTCATTCAAAATGAAAATGCATTTAACTATGGACTGCTGCTGTTCAATCGGTGATCGTCTTTTTGCTTCAGTAACATGTAAGCCGTGGTAAGTGCAGACAGACCCTTAAAACGTACGTGAGCTTGACCACATGGGATTTCATGCACGTGATCAGTTTCTACGAAACATATGCCCCTGCCAGTTTAGACTCTGCAAAATGATTCACTGCTGGCACTTTGAAGGCTCACCTATAAGCCAAAAATATAAAAGCATTTTTTGTAGGGCCATCATGAAAGAACACTTTACATCTGCCACACAAAAGAACATTTCCTCAGACCAAATCTCTATAAATGTCCGATCATGGGAGACTGCTCGGTAATACATTAAAGTAGCCAAAAGATGAAAGCACGGAAATTGATTATCTATAAGTGCAGAACTTTTGGGTGTTTCCTCCTCACATGTGTGGGTTTTCTCCCCACGTGCCTAACAATCATGACTAGAGTTGTCTAAACATCCCAATGCAGGGCCCTCCTGAAAAATAGTATTGAGACTCAGTAAGGTTTTCCTGTATTCCTCGTATTATCATTAAACAGTATTACAAGCCAGTAGTAGGTATTAGCCTCAAACCCAATTGCTTTTGAATACTGTCACTAGCCGTGAGCATGGCTCCACCCTCACTCTGGTATGAGCCATCGTATGATAAGCACAGTTGGCTACGTACGGTGCGAAAGAAGTTCAACATTTATACATACTGCAATTCACGCTTGGTGACACACTCATTACAAAGTTGACCCGTTGAGTAATCTACGCTGCATTCTATTCCTTTTATTTCATTTACGCTCCCAATCTTGACTCTCTCTTTCTGTACCTCCCTCGCCCTGTGCCCAGTCTCGCTCTCGTTCATTATTCCTTCTTGCACCCCTTCATTTGAACGAACTCCCACTGCACATAAAACAGTGACCTTCACTAACCTGCTTCGACTCCTCCCTTAAAACCACCTCCATCTCTTCTCCCCTAACCCATCTTGCTCCTGCTTCTCCCCGCCCCTGCCCCTCATATACGACCAGCCCTACCCCAACCCCTATCACTACCCCTATAGCTACCCCTTATGCCTACGCCAACCCCTCCTTAACCACTCCCACCTCTTCTGCTGTCACCGTAACTACACCACCACTTTTAATAACAATTCCACTCTTCGTGTCAACCACTTTTATCTTGTGTTATATAAATGTGTATAAGATTTAGTTATGTTGTTTTCAATACTACCCACTGTATTTTTTGAGTCGCTACATAAAGTTTTCTTCATATTTTTTCTTTCAATACCCTTCTCAAAAGTTGTGTCAACGTATACACTCACAATTTATTTCAGCTCTCTGAACTGCTGTTAACACATTGCTTTTCAATAAACTTTGTTGTTCAACACCTTTTCAATTAAATCGGAGGATGAGCAGGAAAACATGATTCCTAATAAGGTTTACGGCTCCGACAAGTCATTTACCATCAGTAAAGTCACGTAGGTAAAAAATAAAACAACAAAAAACGCTGCTAAGATTCGGAGCGTCTTTTAGCTTAAAAGACGCTACGAATCTTAGCAGCGTTCATTGAAGCTCTGTCGTCCCGACAGTTCTGTTCCTTCACCTGAAGAAGGCCGCTTGTGTTGTGGCCCGAAACGTCGTGATTTTTGTCGTTTTATTTTTTACCTACGTGACTTTACCGAATAGAACCAAAGAGTATGGATCCTTGCAGTCACGAAAGCTTAAAATCTAGAATTTACCATCAGTTTGCTACAATCTAAATATTTGCCAATGGGCATGGCCTGGAGAGATCTGCAGGAATTAGCTCAAGGGGTGAGCTTCGCCTCAGTGTGTTTGTTACCTAGCGAGTGTCGAGGGCACGCTTCAGCAGGAGCGCATGCTTCGTCTTGCAGCAGCGTCTGGGAAAGTAATGGCAAAGTTAGGGCCGTAACGGTTCAGGCAATCGCTCTGTTCCACCAACGTCCAGTTGCCGTGACTTCTTGCGGCGATTTGTCCATATATTCAATAAATAAACTGAGAACGGGGAGTAGCGATAACGGGGTTCATGGGAACAATCTTGACATTTTCACTCAATAAGCGCATGGCGTATGGTTCAAGTCATGCAGCCTCACTGCGAAATATTCACCTCTCTGTGGAAAAAATGCAATTGAGCTCAATTAGAGCTTAATTGTACCTGCAATATTAAAAATAATAATCCAGTGGTGGCTAAGACTCAAGACATCAGAGCCCCGCTGAGAATACTAATCTGAATACAGGTATCAACCACCTGTAATTGAACCAGGTTATCAAAAAGTGGGTTTATGGTCACAGCCTGGTCACTAATGACGGTAAAAAAATCCACCCCATTTCATTTGTATTTCACTTCACGTGGCAAAAAGGCATGTCTGAGAATAAGAACAATGGTTGTTAATCTGTGTCCATGGGCCATTATGAAACCTGGAGTCATGCAACTGTCCTGAAAGATGTCCGAATGGACACTTCGATTCTACAACACCGAAAGTGCAATTGGATTAAAACTGGGACAAAAACTATACAGCTGTGGTTACAATGCTTCAAAGAATCATCGAACATTTAAAAGTCAAATTCGGGGGTTGATTGATCCTTTTGTGGGATGTAATCAGCGGTTGTCCTTTGAAGGGGGAATGGCCCTCTCTTTGGACGTATGGACTTTTTAGCACTTGTTCACAGTAGTCAACAGATATCCTGCCTGAGCAGGGAAACAACGATGTTTGACGAGGATGTGACGCTGCATTTTACGTGGGCCCTTACTTTTTCATGGGGAACCGTGGCAAAATCCCAATAGTGCCTTCTGATGCAGGCAGGATATGCCATTCCACAGATCATCTGTCCAGGTGGCTGTGTTTCCATGATGGGAAATCCACCGGCTACACAAGTGCGGTCCCGTTGCTGTATCCCGGGTTGCTGAAAAGAAACGGTGTTGGTTGGTTATAGATGCGCTCCTAAACTTTGTTTAGTAAAGAGTCTCTCTCTGCGCTACTGCTCCACGTTTCTTGAATACCCTTGCCGCTCATCTACACCTTAGTTGCCTCCCTTCGCTCCCACCTCTTTGCTTCCCTGTTAAACCAAGAGCTTACTTGCACCTGTGCCTAATATTCCTTAACCCTTTCCTGTTCCAATGACGTACAAGTATGTCGTTAATTTTTCTTCTGATTCCGGAAGAAAAACTGAAATAAAATAACTTTATCGGTACCGAGGCTCCCACGAGGCCACGCAGGAGGGCGTCCGGCAGAGTTTGGCACCAGCTATCGTAGAATGCGGTCGCGTCGCTACAGTTCTTTGCAGTGGGTACAGTACAATGCCTATAAAAAACAACGGCGGTATGCCTCGCAAAATAAAATTCACGCTAAACCGTTTGCGGGGTTCCAAGATTCAGCGGTGAACGGGGCACCCATCATGCAACTTGCAGTTGTCTCGAAACGGGAAAGGGTTCAGGACCCCGTTCTCGTTCTCTGCAATATTGATATTTTTTGCGTGATCCCCGAATGCATTCCTCGTGTCATGACGAGATGCCGATAGGACAGATCGGGATAACATTTAGGGTAAAGAGAATGAGGGCATTTGCTCCGTTATGGCAATATTTATTTGATGATGTAGAGCTCTACTCGAGTTTACGAGCAGGAAGATGCTGAAATACCTGTGGTGGGTTGTTAAATTTGCATGCAGGCTTCAGTTTAGTTCTTTTTGCACGTGCGGGTCTCTGTACCATGTGCACGTTCTCCTGGGACGCATCTACTCTGCCCGGTGGAGGTGCAAGAAGTTGCTGTCCTTGGGCTTCAGGCTCAGATGCATTGTTTGAGAACCCACCCTCCAATTCAGACAGGCTTGTTGGTAGTCTGCCTAGGAAACACAAGATGGGTGATATTTGTTTAGATAGGTATAGAGAACGACAATTATCATGATAATAGTAGTTAGATAAACCTTTTGGTGCAAGCAGCATTCATGGCGGCAACTTTGTTTCCAGAGTAACAAATTTCCAGCATATGAATCAATGATCAGCTGCTATTCTTTTTTTTTAGTGTTTAATTATGTACAGTATATGTATTTACTATTTGCAGTACAATATTACAATTATCAAATAAACTCAGAATGGAATTGGCTAATCATCAAAAGCAAGACTTCCCTGTAAATGACATTTGAAGACTCTCCAAATCTTTCCAGGGTAAATAATTCAATTAGAATTTGTTTATCAAAATATTCAGTGACTTATAAAAAAAAGCCTGATATTTCATTATGCTACGAATGCTTTCAATGCATTTAACACAACACTTACTGTTTTTGAGCCATCTCTGAGTTTGAGCTTTCAAGTAGCCAGCAGTTTGGCGATGTAAGGGATCTGGAGCCAGGCCCTGTGTGAGAATATTCATAACTTCTGGGCTGAATTTCTCCTGTATCTCATCGAGAGGAGATTTCTTTGCCAGGAGCTGCAACAAGGCACACAACCAACCGTTAGAAAGAACAGCCATTATAAAAGGCAGGTACAGACTATAACAATCACTCTAGGGTATAGAGAGATAGATTCCCTTTATTTCAGAACCAAGTAACAGCCATTTGACTCCCAGAAGTTTATTTTTCAAGGGAGGCCTGAGTAAAAATAATTATATAAAATAATGATAGTATTCAGAGTCCTAATGGTTTAAATACAGAATATTGAATAACATGTTAGAGGAATAAATAAGATTAAAAAAACAAACCCACATCCGAGCGTAATATAAAAAGGCAAATTAAATATAGCTAAAACATAAATGTTTTTAACTGTTTACATTATTGAAACTATTTAAGATGAAATACAATTACAACGTTGAAATACAAATCAATATTTTAAGCTAGAATGTTAAGATGTAAGGTCCCAATTTTACATATTACAATTTTTAAGATATATTAGATTGCTACCTGAAATCGCAATTGCATCCTTTAATTGCACTTCATTTGATACATGTGGAGGTAGGTGTAAGTTTAAGTCTGTTTGATTTGTTACACGGATGGTCCCATTTAGCCAGTTCCCCAGCTATTTTACGAGGGAGATCCGTGGTGCGTGAAACATAGTCCCAACAAAACAAAGACAAAAACGTCAATATTGCAGAGAACAAGTACGGACGCCCTTAAGGAATATTGTAATAAGAAAGTGAAATGTGAAGTGAAATACGATTTTGGAATTTACCCGAACCCCGCTTACCTGCTGCCTTATTTCCTCTTTATTATTGCCATGCTTGGCCACCCAGGGCGGCCCGCCGGTGAGCATGTGAAGTAAGGTGCAACAGGCGCTCCACACGTCCACCTTGTACGAGTACACCTTAGTGAGCACCTCGGGCGCCATGTGGGTGATGGTGCCGGCGACCTCCTGCTTGTCCCCGTGCCCGATTATCTTCACGAAGCCCATGTCGCAGAGGACCAGCTCCCGCTTGTCCAGTGACAGCAGCATGTTCTCGGCTGGACATTAGATCACAGAGGGCAGTTGCACGATGAGTGTGAGAGTTGAAAATTAGCAGGGGACAAGGATAAGTTTACTACCGAGCGTACGTTTTCGTGGTTGCCCCGCGCAGCTCTCCGATATATTTTAGCGGTCGTAAATGCACCTTTGTTCAGCTATGTTGTCCGGCGTTTCGCTCCAAGTGCTGGCGGCATCATCAGGATCTCGCAGCACGTGGAGTCAAACGTTGGACATGCCGAACGGCGCACCGGTATCCGAACACACATTGGAGAGCGATAACAGGAGACGAAACAAAAGTTTTGCTGGCTGGCTGGCACGCGTGCGAGCGAGCGGGCAAGATCGCGGCGGTGGTGATGTCACCGTGCACATCTGCGTGATAACGTCACCTGCAGCGGGGTTGGTGCATTGCGCAAAACGTCATCACGCCTCCCTTCCCACCCACCCTCTGTTCCAGCTGTGTATCCCGCGCAAATGATACAAAGCTGATACAACAAAAAGGGTAATTAATTTTTCTCATTCTACATCCCATTACAACCGTGCTGCATCAGGCCACTGAAAACTCTCGCAGAGCACTGCATTGGCCAGTAAAGAGACATGAGAAAAAAACATGACAGAGACCCGTCAAGTGACCTTAATCTACAAAGCAGGGGTTACACTTAACCCATGCGTCCTGCCACAGAAAAAAAAATTCCTCGCATGGTAAATTAAACAAATATTATTAACCTTGAGAGCTGGAAATAGGCAAATTTACGTAGTTTTGAATTCTAAAAAAAATCTAAATTACTCTCGGGAAATACAATTCAGAAACCATTCCATATGTGACAAAACAATAGAGGAAAAGTAATCTGCTGCTCTATACGAATTGAGTGCTGCTTTTGGAATGTAATTGTTTTTGAGCCACAATGAATGTGCAGCACTGGTTGGCAAATGCTAACACATGCACTACGATTATATTTTTGCGTATAGGGCATCACCTTCCATCGTCTAGGTGAAACGAACGTCGTTAATTCGTTTGCACTACAATGCTTAATCCTAACATGTGCCGTAACACATGTGCTTTGCCCCGACAGCAGCCAAAACTTTCTTTCAAACGGAAAATGTTGCTCATAGCATAAACAAATATACATCTTAAAAACCATGAGATCGATTTTGTTACGAGTGTAGTGACATAGAATGGATCACTACGGCGCGTAGCGCTAGGTCCAGTAGAATGAGGGAATGTGGGTGTAGCAGCCAGCACAGCATGTAATGCCACGCAGCGGGTCACTAGGGTGCGCGGTGCTGGCTGCTGGCAGAGAGGGGCATAAGAGTCCTAGCGACAGAGCAGGGTATAGCAGCTATACCGCCAGCACAGCAGGTAATGCCACGCAGTGGGTCACTAGGGGGCGTGGTACTGGCTGCTGGCGGAGAGGGGCATGTGGGGACACGCGACCCCGGCCGGCTGGCAAAGCACGTGATGGGCCGGGGCGAGGGATGTAAGGCAAAGGTGACCGGGGGGACACGGGGAGCATGGCCCAGGACCTTATGGAGGTTCCAGATGGGGGCGTGGTTAAGGGCGGAGCTGGGCAGGTGGCACGTGGAAGGTGGTACGTGGAAGGTGGCCCAGAACCTCCTGGAAGGTTCCAGAAGGGGGCGTGGCCGAGGGCGGAGCCAGGCCACGCTAAGGGGCATAAAAGGGAAGCCCCGAGGCTGAATCTGGGCTGTCTACAGGTGGAATGGAACCCGAGGTGCTACGTCTCCGTCTTCATCTCCGGCGTCGTGGGTCAGACAGCATATTGGCTGCTCTGACCCGTAAATAGTTATCCCGCATGTGAAGAGTGTGTAAGATATATAGTGTAGAATAAGTAAACGTTGCTGCCTCCTAAAATAGTGTCTCAGAAGTGAGGAAAAAGAAAACAACAAATACCATAACAAGATCAATGCAAAACAACAGAAAAAATATGCAATAACATTATGTCAATGGCTCTACCGTAGAGTAAGAAAGAAGAGCCATTACTGAAACATCAGCCTATAATTAGTGCTGTTGCAACAATGCCAACGCATATTCTTAGTTCTTTCGGTAAAGTCACGTTGTTTCCCTTCAACGTGACTTTACCGAAAGAACTAAGAATATGAATTACTGCAGTCACGAAAGCTTTAAATCAAAATTTAATGCCAACGCAGTCTCAATTTTGTTTTTACGAACCAGAGACAACACAGCCAATTAGATTAATCTTGTGTTCGAGGTACAATGTGATCTTTGTGATGTCAGACTGTTTTGGATGAGTAAGACCTGCCTTTTATGTCTCGATGAATGCATTTCTTATTGTGCATGTATTCCAGGACAATCAGTATCTTCTCCAGGTAGTGAAGGGCCATTTGCTCACCGAGTGAACCCTTGTTGATCAGCTCAGCAAGCGTGCCACCTGTACATCAGGGGTGCAGACGGAAGAAATATAACGAGCGGAACTCCCATTTACGGTGGATGTATGGAAAGTGTTTCGAACGCAGAATTACATTAACCCAATGCTGAAACGCGACCTTTGTATCCATTGCATATTTTTAAATGTATTGAGGAACACAAAGGAGATTTTCATTAAATAAATTGAGTTATTGACTATTTTTCTGATTTTCAGAGCCACATTTTGTGCACCACATTTTTTATAACAGGTGGACGTTTTGGGCTAATGCCCTTGTTTCAAAGCAGAAGAGTGAAGGGAAATGGCCTGACATGTCAGCCTATTGATTAGAACCCTTTGTACATCCACTGCTGGATGAAGGCTTCTCCATGAGGTGTCAGGTTACGGGGAATATTTGATCCTTACCTCACTGTGCCAACTAGTGCAGATTGGTGATGGGGGAGGAGGGGGCAAGCCTGGTTCAAACATCACTCGCCACTGATTTACTGTTGGTCAAGAATTTTACTCGGTTTGTCGTGCGTTCAAAAGTGCAGTGCCATAACCACTGTCCCTCACCTATTACTTACGCATTTTCCCATTATAGAAACAGATATGTATTTAATGAATCATTGAAAACTTGTATAAATCTAAGTTACTGAAAATAGTCACGTGTGTAATTGTAATTGCATCTGCACACAATGTATACCTTCAATGTATTCCATGAACATGAACACTTTGTTCCATTCTATGACAACTCCCAGGAGCGGCACAATGGATTGGTGGTTCAAGCCAACCCAGATCTCGAGTTCATCCTTCCGGAAGTCCTTCAGATGCATCTGAAAAGCACAGTAATAGAAACCGCTCGATCAGTAAAACGTAACCAAACGTGGAAAGGAAAAAGTAAATATATTGCATCATGCCCTGAGAACTACATTCCCTTTGAATGTTCGCAAATCAGTTGTGGAGTATGTAATGAATGTCTAAATAAAATGCAGCCCTTGCTGAATGACGGCCTTACCACACTACATCGTTCATCGGATGTTTTTAGTTTTGTGTGGCCACTAAGGTTACAGTGGCAGCCAACAAAGCCATGACAGGGTATTCAAGTTTGAATCTCACGTGGAGTTTGGGGAATTTACTCGGGTTTTGTTAATAGTCCATATATTTTTTTTAACAATAACATGCTAGAGGAATGCCTCCCCCACGTGGGTTGACCACGAAACTAATTGGCCTACACCAGAGACAGCCTTCTTTAGGGCCTAGTCTCAACCAGTGTTAGACCAGAGAATGCCAAAAGGTGAACAGTTCAAAGGCAATGCCACTATGAGAGCACTTACAGCTCGGGGTGAGCATCGTATGAAAAAAATAAGAAGAGGTTTTACCCTTTCTGGCAATAAAACAGGTGTTAAGATGTTCAAACACCAAATTAAAAAAAACTTTGTATATATTATAAGAGCATGTGTTTTGTTTGCATGTTCACCACAAGTACTGTGAGTGGTGAATGCAGCACTTGATTCCTTGAAAAAGGTTTATGTTTGGTGTTTGAACATCTTGACACCTGTTTTATTATACATTGATACTGGTAAAAAAAGGTCCCATTAACCAAGCTGGTCATTACATGTTAGTAAAGGAGGGGACCCAGAACTGCATCAGAAATCACTCGCTACTTGCATTACCCCTGGCCTGGAATAAAACACAGGTCTATTAAGACTAGTGTGGTACACAAGGAAGTGCATCACATTGGTCACCTTCATTTGTCCAAGGCAAATATTTACGTGCACATTAGGTGCTAAGAGCCAACCTCGGGGAGATACCAGTGCCACAAATGTTACCCATGGCCAGAAATTTTATTCAGTTTTCCAGTCTGCTAGTCACCGTGCCACTGCTCCATCACACACCATCCTTATGCGTTAATTAGGAAATTGCACGAGTTTGTTTTAAGGACAAGAATAGTTTTACGACAGATCCCATGTGTATGAGCACTGCTCATTTTATATATACACTAGTTGTACTACGCGGTTTCGCCCGGAACTTGGATCCACCACGCCCGGCCGCCTTTGCCTCCCCAGTGGTGATGTTCACACACCACAGCAGTTACTCGTTTAAGGCTGAGTCGACCTAGGGGAGGCCCAGGAGCGGTTGAAATAATCGTCACTGGTGGTGGCCGTGAGTGGGAATCGAACTCGGGTCGTTGGGTTCGTAGCGCAGCACGCTAACCACTGCACTACAATGCGTTACGCTTCCACGTGCGCGGGTCACGTGACAGATTTGACGTCACAGCTCACTTGCCGTGCAAAAATATTTATGCATTATTGAGCTCCCCCCCCCTCTAAAAAAACCAAAAGTGTATTTTTATAATTATTGCATGGTGTACAGTCTGGAAAATACCCACATGGCAAATTTCAAGTTTGTTGCATGTCGGGAAGTACGCTAAACATTTTGAACAGACACACATAATCACAACTTGGCCTTTAATATATATGGAGATAACCGGTGTCAATGTGCACACACGGGTGTACGACTGTGCTGCAAATACCTCTTTCATGGCAAATGTGTTTCTGGTTTCAGCATCTTTTCCCACGTGGACGGTCCCAAATTTTCCTCTTCCCAACAGGTTACCTCTATACCATTCCTTTCCTTCACGGTAATTTCCATCTTTAGCTTTGAGCAACTAAGGAGACAACATTCGTGCCATTAACACAGGCATGTCCAGCAAAGCGGGGCCGGGGGGTGGGGGGGAGCTGCAGTGCGATACACCCACAAGTGGAAAGATGAGAGTTCATATCTCGGCTGGAGATCAACTAAGCATTTTATCATCCCCTCCAGGGTCAATTGCATAAGAACCACTGCTTAGCAAGGCCAAAATTGTATTGCTATAGAGTGATATGTTATCACAATAAGAACATGGCATTTTTACAATTGCCTCAGGATGACTGATAAGAGTACGGCCCAATGGTCATTTGAACACGAAGACACTTTTTTAGTGTCAACATTTTTTCTCACATTTTTGTCACAATATTTTCTCAAAGGAGCAGTACTCTCCTGTCAGGAGCCCTGAGCCAGTGGTGGAAAGTCCACATTCCTATGGCAGGGGCCCATCTCTCCAACTCCAGAGGGACTTTGAAGTCAAATGTGAATTCGGATTTGAATTGATAAAAAAAAAACTTTTTGGAATGTGCAATCTTCCAAAACTCTTCCCGGATGATAAAAGCATGCAACCCTCATATATAAAATAATCGTCACAGGTGGTGGCCGTGAGCGGGAATCGAACTCGGGTGGCCGGGTTCGTAGCGCAGTGCGCTAACCACTACACTACAATGCGTTACGCTTCCACACACACACAGACACACACACAGACACATACACAGACACACACACAGACACATACACAGCGCGCTAACCACTACACTACAATGCGTTACGCTTCCACATGCGCGGGACACATGACAGATTTGACGTCACAGCTCACTTGCTGTCCAAAAAATATTGGGCTCCCCCCCCCCCCCAAAAAAAGTGTATTTTTATAATTTTTGCATGGTGTACAGTCTGGAAAGTACCCACATGGCCAATTTCAAGTTTGTTGCATGTCGGGAAGTACGCTAAACATTTTGAACAGACACACATAATCACAACTTTGCCTTTTATATATATGGAGATATTGAACAAAAAAATAGTTTTTAAAAATCATAACGGCTCCAAACCTGATTAAGAACACCACAGTAAACATTGTAGTTATCTTGAAACTTGCGATCGGCGATTTGGCGTCCCAGCTTCCTCACGTGTTGCGCTGTCCCGTCGATCACGCCAACGATTAGGTTGGTTTTCATCGACTGCTCAGGTGCCAGAAAAGCGGCCTTTGGCTTGAGGGCGTTCTCATGCGTCGGTTTTACACCTTGCCCCTGGTAATTTAAGCTGGTCAAGCAGGGAGTGCTGTCACGTGGTGCATCTGTTGGAGGTTCGTCGAGGGATTCCAGTCGTTTTCCAGTATCTGCTCCACAGCTTTCTAGAGGTGCCTGGGTTGGGAAAAGATGTGAAGCAATAGTGGTCAGGCATTAACAGTAATGATGCAATATTTACACACAGTACAGTAATTATAAATATTTGTTGCAAATGTAAAGACATCTTCGACGCACTTTGTCTTGAGATGGTTTCTTTATTGAGGAACCACGTGCTCACACTCTGAGAGGCGGAGACCCTGCTGCAACAGCCCCGAGTCTCTTGCGCATCTCCCTTATATACGGTCCGAGGCGACGCCCCCATTGCCGAACCTTCTTGCTGGTTCTAGACCACTCGCTCTACCAGCTGACTCCCCTGTCATTATCTCCCTTGGCCACTAGTCCACTCACACCATTGGTTGACTACTGTCATTACACTAATTTAGAATAGAAATTAAGTGTTTTTATGGAGCATTGAATGTTATTATAAGGCGCCCGTCTCTCCACTTAAATATTTATATTTTTAGTCCATCTGCCTATGTGCCTTATTATCCAGTAACCTTTTTAAACAAGTAATCTCAAGGCTGCTTTTGTCCTTCTGGATCTAAAAATTATGGGCATCAGTCTGGCCCCATCTCATGAAACCAAAAAAAAAGATCAGATGGTCAAACTAATTACTTAGTTTTCCTGCTCAACCGTTGCTCAATGATATTCATCTGGATGGACTAAAACATTTAAATAATGCATTGCTCATGTAATTATATACACATCGATTAACTGCACGTAAAATAAAAGATGCACTCACCGTATCGTTGCTACGGTGCTGTTGGGATAACTCTGCATTGGCGAGTGAAAAACTCCGATGATCCCAGGGGGTATGAGATGCAACGGGTACGTCTTTCTCTGGGATCCCAATAGGAATGTTATCATCTCCATCCTGAGATCTACTGCCAAAGTTAGGACGTTGGCTGCTTCGATCGCTTGCCGGAGATGGGCATCTGCCTCTGCCTTTGGAGTTTTCCGAAGGTTTTCCAATATCGTGATCACCAGAAGCCTCACACGCCTGCTTAAGTTTAGGCACGAAAGGTCGCTTGGGGTCATCACCATCTCCTCGGCCATTGCCTAATGGCCCGGAGGCTCCAACAACTGCGTCGTGCGTGGTTCCATTGGATCTCGAAGTCTGTGTCAAACAGCACAAAAAATATGAATTGACTGCTTTGATGACATGTACAAAGCTACTACAAAAGCTACGCTATTGCCTGTAGCATATAAAAGGTATGTGGAGCCCTCTTACCCATGAGATCCAACCACAAAAAAACTGACACGTGGCTTTTGTGACCAATATTATTCGTAATAAAAGCTTTTGGGTTCAATTGCGTAAATGTGTGTCGTTAACCCACCACCACCCGACACAGCGAATTAGTAAGGTTTGTGATTTTGATTTAAAGCTTTCGTGACTGCAGTAATTCATATCCTTAGCTCTTTCGGTAAAGTCCCTTCAACGTGACTTTACCGAAAGAGCTAAGAATATAAGGTTTGTGATGTGAACAAAATGTGCCAATTAGTTACTAGTTCAGAACTACCGATGTGATGGCGAGTAAACCTACAACATTTACAATCGAGTACGTTTCGCTGGTAATTACAACCAGCTTCACCAGGCGATTTGCCAGAATTGTGAAGAAGCCTTCCTGCTTTTGGTCTTAAACATAGCAAGATTATGTCATCACTGAGAGCCTTAACATAATTCAAGGTAATTTATAAGACTACAATCAACCCCCCTGTGATCTTTTTACCTGAAAGGCTCACAGTTATGATGTCATCTTGCTCTATTTAAGATCAGATGCAGGAAGACTTCTTCACAATTCTGGCAAATCGCCTGATGAAGCTGGTTGCAATTACCAGCGAAACGTACTCAATTGAAACATTTTGTGGGTTTACTCGCCATCACAGTGCTGCAATAATAGCTAATTGGCATGTTTTGGCCAAGTGATAAACCTTACTAATAGGCTGTGTCAGGTGGTGGTGTGTGACCGACACATTTATATTTACGCGATTTAACTCAAAACAAAAAAAATAGGAATGTTATTGGTTGTAGTAGCGCCCTTTTTTGTCAATCCACTGCTGGATAAAGGCCTCCCCAAGCCGTGCAGGTCATGAGGGGTTATCTGACTATACTTAACCGTGCTGTTCAGCGTGGGTTGGTGAAATCGGGGAGCACAAATTTATCAGTCAGAACTCAAGAGGCCAGGGTTGTCTCATTTGCAAGATAAAACCTGGGTCACCAAAATAGCAATAGCTAACAACATCAAATAGTGTACAATAATGAAGACATTATAAATCAGAGCAAAACATCAGAAATATATAACAAATGATCAACTCCAGCCTGGACACAAAATGCATGGTAACTATGCAAATATATTACTACTCACATATTTTAAAAAAATTTACCTAAAATAATTTAGGTTCACCTGACAAGCCTTAAGCCACAGGGTTAGGTACTCTTTTCAAATCGTAGGTAACGATGTGTGCTTGGGCATCCACCGAGGAGACGTAGCGATGACGCTGGTCCGTGCACAGGTAACAGGTGGAATCATGGGACCATGAGGGATGGTGATGGCTTGGGAAGGCCTTCATGCAAACAGTCGGACAATTACGGCTGATGATGACGATGATGGCCTGTGCTTGAGTGCCAAGAAAGTCTGACTGCTAAATTAATTAAATGTCAGCAGAAATTGACTTAAAAAATAAGACACTTATTTACCTGTGCATCACCAGTCTTCTGTGACGCTGGCAAATGATCACCTCCAGCCGCTTGATTTCCATCAGAGCAGGATCTTCCTGTCTTGTTTTTCCTTTTTTTCTTCCTCTTCTTTTTCTTGCTACCTTCATTAAATCTGCTTTCATGACATTTATCCACGGATGAAAACAAATATAATAAAAAAACACTCTTAAACCGCCTTATCTGCTATTATAGAATCACGATGTTCATCGCTCAAACCCTCCCGTAAATCACGTGACTCCTGCATGGCCACTCCGAACCCTTTGCTCGCCGCCCCCTGTGAAAACAGACGCTGCTCCATCATGCACCTTACTTCTGCGTAAGTTCAGAATCAGAATCTTTACTTTAGACTGGAGGAATCTGACGAGCTATGAAGCTCATTTTTACTCACGGACGACTATTGGTCAGTCTGCCCTAGGTGACTTCTCTTCACAATCCCTGCAATGCCCATACACACCTATCCCCCGTAGTTATTTCCAACACCGTATACAGTATATATACACGAGGCTCTTATGTAGCCTCTAGCTCCCTATCCTCATCTTTCGTGATGCTTTGGTCCCGTTCCTCCGTTCCCTTTCCATCATTTCCCTCTCATTCCCCATTCTTTCCCCTCTCTGTTCACTTTTCTGCCCCTTTTTACATAACATGTATTACATCCTTGATTTTACTCCCCTCCCCGTGGTGTGCCACAGGGAAAATGTTGTAATTATTATAACAATAAACAATTTAACTTTGCGTATTTGTGCATGTGTTGGTTGCATATTGTTAAAATTGTTCACGATTGTGAGCTTCGTCAGGTAACAGAAGGTGTGTGAAGGGTCACATTTTGCCTTCCACAACAATCTCGTTAATTATTCAAAGCAGGGGGCACAATTCAATTTTAAAACATGTTATGTTTGGTCTCCTTCGCATTATTTTTCTTTAGTTTCCCGAGTAAAGTTTGTTTACTTCTTTAACCTAAATATAACATTGGCATGTAATCAATATAACTAGCATGTCATTTGCATACATCATAAATAGGAGATTCTCACACACAAAGCATGTGTCATGAGCATAACGCTCAAATTGAAATTATTAAGCGATGCATTGCATGCCTCGTTAGTGGAATGATGTGTGGGTTGTCAGAGTGGTAAGACTTATTCTTGTAATGATCAATGAAAATCGATTCTTATCGTGAAAGGATCAATTGTTTACAGTTCATGAAAAGAATGCAAATGGGATGCTCATGTTACATTTAGGCGAACTGCATAAACAAAACTACAAATGAGATTAAAACTTTAATGAGACACAAAAGCGACGACAGACATGAAACCAAATAAGAATCAATTTTGGAATTTAATTGCAACTCCGAATTGGTGGGGTGATTTGCTAGACTCCTAGTAATGGTGCAATACCCTGTGTGCCTGGACGGTGTGTGGGGTGGGTGGGGTGGCGATTTCGAAGGGGGAAGAATCAAAAGGATATTTTACAATTTTAATCAAACCGTGAATTCTTGAAAGATACACACATCATGTGTTGATTTGAAGCCTTCGTGACTGCAGGAATTACTCTTTGTTTTTTTTCGGTAAAGTCACGTATAAATAAGAAATAATAAAATAACATTTTAATAATAAAAAATAACATTATAATAAAATAACATTATATTATGTTATTTTATTATTTCTTATTTATATGTGACTTTACCGAAAAAAACAAAGAGTACATCATGTGTTCTTTATCAAAGGATGTATATTTGGTTAAATGGAATTTGCTGCAAGAGGTATGTATGCACTACGTTCAGTTCCACAATTTAGTATCCTGTCACTTAATTGTCAACAAATTCAAATTATTTTACAGTCAGATACATAAATAATGTAGCCACATGGGATGAAATCTTAACATTTTTTGCTCCATTAAATTGCAATTTCATAAATATTTCAGCCATTAAGTGTTTCCCTACATGCAAGTGCTTCCACCATAACAGGCAGTGGTGGTTTGGGGGGTGGTTATCCAAATTTTTTCACGATGGCCACATGGCTGGGAAAACTTGTGGGCACTCACACGTTACACCCCTATCTAGGTCACCACCAGTCAATAACAATAACACCGGATGCAGTCTAAGCCAGAAAGGAAATTATATATGGACATGTGAAGGTGCAAATCACCATTGTTTCCTCCAAAGTATCACCAACAATTTATTTTGTGACGTGCTTTTGCTTTTCTCTCCAATTAAATTATGTTTATTATTGCATGCGATTAATAAAAATGCTATTTGAAACTCTACATATAGTTGTGCATCACCCTTTGTCAGAAAAGGCATCTCAAAGATGACTTCATAAAACGACTTAAGTCTGCAATATATCTTAAACCATATGAGAAACACACTAGTGTGGATAATCAATCACACACCAAACAGAATGGTTTAAGCCAGAGAGTAAAAATAATCCAAATTAAGTGAACAATCTAATTAAAGACGATTTGTTTGTTGTTGCAGTCAATTGGCGACAGCTGAGAGCTGAAACGTGCTTACACTTCAGAATCTGGTATGATCACGGGTGTCCGAGACCCAGATTTCAACCCAGCATCTCAGTGGTGCCGGTTCATTGCTCACTTGTCTAATTTTGTTGAAGGAATATTTCAGTCACTGGAGACTCGGACTAAATATTTACAAAACGAGCACAATCAGTTTCCTTCTGTGACAGCCCAGTCAGTGCACAATGACCTCTCACCAACATATCTAAGGGGTTATCATGAATAGAGGCCTGACCTTTAAGCGCCACATAAAACATTTATAATACAAGACCGAATCAAGAATTTCCTTGAGAAACTTAAAGGAATGACCTGGGGTGCCTCTGGCTGGAGAGCAACACACTTCCCTCCAGCCTGGTCTCGGAGCCAGTACGCAAAATTGCCAGATGCACAATTAAATAACCCAATGCACATCGTTACCGGAACACTGCAACTGATACCAATGCCCTGGCCCCCTGTTCCCATGAACATTCTGCCAACAAATTTTCGCAGAGGCATGCAAACTGCAAGGCAGTTTACACTTTTATTGCCAACGACAACGATGCACCCATCATCAACCAAGACCTGAACAATGTTCCCCCTTCTGGGATCATGCTGCTGTCAACATCCTAGAATGTCACCCAGATCCAAAAGATGGCGAATTCAGTGGAACAATGCAGACCTCCAGAATAAATGGCTCATTCGAGACTACAATATCGCACCTCCAGTCCTTTGACATTCCTCGAAGACACTGGTGTGACTGTCAAATGCATCAAAACATCAACAGGGCGATGCGCACATCTCCTTCATCAATTTAAAATCAAAGACAAGCCACAGTTTGATTGTGGTCATGCAATCCAAACTATGGACATATAGTAAACCACTGTGGGCTCGACATTGGCATTTAGCTCTTGAACATATTGCCATACCAAGAACAGAAATTGAACATATTGCCATACCAAGCACAGAAATTGAACATATTGCCATACCAAGAACAGAAATTGAACATATTGCCATACCAAGAACAGAAATTGAAAATATTGCAATACCAAGAAAAGAATTTTAACATATTGCCATACCAAGAACAGAAATTGAACATATTGCCATACCAAGAACAGAAATTGAACATATTGCCATATCAAGAACAGAAATTGAACATATTGCCATACCAAGAACAGAAATTGCTCAGACTTCTGGGCCACGCAGCCACCTCTCACCAACAAATTTTACCCTTAGACTAGCGTGACTATGTTCTGTATAATATATATTTTCACGAACATTTGCTGACATAACATCGAGACCTCATTTGAACCTAACCACCATCAGCAATTGAGACCTCAGAGTGAAACGTTGTTGAGATAAAAAAAAAAAACACCCTGCAAATTGTAATCGGATAGAGCGGCGGTGCAGTAGTTAGTACATTTTGCCTTCAACCCGGTGACCTCAGTTTGATTCCTGACCTCATCAACACGCACAGGGCAGTGTAGTGAAGTATGGTCAAACAACCTGAAACAGTAATATGTACGTGGGTAGGCATTCATCGAGCAGTGGATTAACAAAGGTCTGCAAAAAATGATGAACACAAGTCGATCATTGATTTCGTTATTATAGATGAGGCAAACTACTTTGTCTAGCAGTCTTAGAGCCGGACACGTATTTCTTGTCAAACAGTTTCCTTCGTTCACAATAATTATTGCATCCTATGAGTTACCAAAGGATGTAAGGAAAGTGATTGTCGATCATGAGCTCCAGTAGCGCTCAGTGTGCATGGCAATAAATATGATGCATCGCATGGCCAGAATGCAAGTGGCATGCAGTCTCTCCTGTTATTCCAATCACCTCTGTGGTAGAACGTCAGGAAAATCTGTCTGTGTACACTTATTCGAAGACACCGCTTGTTCTTCTGTGTTGGCCATCTTGCTTGTTTCTGAATAATTACAGTTGCAGTGCATTAATTCAAAGACCATATCCAGGATGTACACAATACATATTGTTCCTTAAAAGGGCGAGCAATAATGAATATTTAATTATTAAACCATCTGCAGCAACAATGCTTGACATTTTAAAGAAATAACAAAGGCCACATTTTGGAATGCGCTAGAAATATACTAGTCAGAGTTATATTTTTAAATGAAGGAAAACATAATTATAATAATAATTTATAGCCATTTGTCAATCCACTGCTTCAGAAAATCATCCCTATGCCATGGTAGTCATGGGGGTGTGAAGCAAACTGGTTCAGATATCACTCGTCACTGGGGTTTGCCATAAATTGAACTCAGGTTGCCAGGTTCAAAGAGCAATTACAACTTACATTTTCAATAAATGGAACTTACATTTTTCATAAGTCGAAAAAATGTACAAGTATATTATTACAATTTCCAATGCTTAAAGGCATTAAAATAGCACACCTTTATAAAGCAAGATACAACGACCTATGTGTAAGCTTACTGCATACGTACCAGTAACTTTCATAGACTCCTTGAAAAAGGGAAATGTTGCGAAACATTTTGAGGCCATAAATTCTGTGAGTAGAAACGAGAAACGTTATCATAACACTGAAGTGACTGGTTTTTTTTCCAGCGTGTTAAATATACGGGTTGAAAAACAAGTATCACAAATGTTTTGGCAAGACTTTCATTCCATTCATAATGCAATTGGAGTCGCCATTTATCCATGTAACGGTATTTTTTTTTAAATCTCTTTATTGTTTCTACTGTTAACAAATGTTCGTACTTAAAGAGACAAAATGGTGTAGGCCAGGCCCAAGCGCAAAATAAAAAACCCCACTTACGTTCTTTCGAGATGACGCACATGTGTACGCACAGCGCGAAGCAACGCAATAGGTAACATACGCGAGTGACTGGGAAGCGTACGAGTTCGAATGCCGCTTGGAGAATGATTCTACCATTCATCCACGCGGCGTCAATACGCTGAGCACCGATTTGTGAAAAGACTATCTTTGCTGTACAATGGAATGATTCATCCTACCGTAGGAATATGAAGTTTCCACCACCGAAGAGGCATTTAAACACAAGATGTGTGTCCCTCAAGGCTCGTTTGAACAGGACTTTACTTTAACTCTTTTTGTAAAAATAAAGTGAGAAATGTATTTGGACTAGAATTCCGACAACCTACGGCCGCCTTATTCAAGCTCCTGCGGAGAGCTTCTCGGCCCGCCCGCCGCCCCCACATATGTCCCCCCCCTCCCCATGTGTGCAGATACTACTGACTCTATTGTAAGAATGGTGTGCAGGCATATATGGTGGGCGATTTGTGCATTTTGCAATCACCTGTTAAACTGTACTTGGCCTTGTGTTATTAGTAACTGTTATTAACCTCTGTGAAGGCAGTTACAAATTATTGAACTAGCTCACACCATTTCCAAACAATTCCATTAAATTCAGCCAATCAAATCAAGTTGTCACGTGGGAAATATGCCAGTTGAGTTTATTTTAAGAGAAAACCGAAATGTAGCAAAATTTAGATGTTTGATTGGCTCTCTTGGGTGGTGGAGGGTTACAGTTTAAACACTGTCATACCTACACAATCTAATCCAAAATAAACTAATGATGAGTCCTGTATTAAATTGTACTGCCTGGAGGACAAGGTACATGCTGTTATTTAAAAGGGTTGTTGTGCTTCGTGGTAATTGTATTCTAATTGTACTATCGGTGTCAAGTCATGGAGCGAAGCATCCATCCAGAGAACAGCCTGCATGGGGACAGTTGGGATCCTGGACTCAATCACAGGATCTCAGCTGTGCCACCTCACTGCTGTGACCCCTGAGCAGCACCATACTTCTCATAATTATCATGAAACATCAATACATTTGAAAGGATCATTTATGTTCTATTGGTGTTACCAGAAAATATCACTCACCCATCACCTCTTCAAGCAACCTTTCAACATTGTGGTAGTTCTGATCTTCTTTGCACAAGTGATGATGGTTCCCGTGAAACAGGAAGGCAACGATTTTGATCATTTTCAAAATCCAGTTCACGTCAAGGCTGCTGTATCTGTGCATTCGAAGAAAAGATGTGGACTTTTTACTGCAAGTTTAACCTTCATAAACACAGGTAACACACGACGCATTGTGTGTGTTTTAAACAAGCTTATCAAGCCCTTATAAGCTACTTTGTTAAGTAGGAGAATCAATTACCAATTAGGTGAAACGTCACCAGTGAAGGGGTGATTAACAACACACAAATATCATCCAGTGCTAAATTCCACCCTTCACAAATATTAACATGAAAAATATATATTCCATACTCTTTGGTCCTTTCGGTAAAGTCACGTAGGTAAAACATAAAATAAATCACCTGATGATGGACGCTTGTGTTGCGCCCGAAACGTCGTGATTTATATTATTTTATACCTACGTGACTTCACCGAAAGAACCAAAGAGTATGGATTCCTGCAGTCACGGAAGCTTCAAATCAAAATATATTATATTGTTCACGAACTTTCATGTGGAACTTTTAATTGAATGTTAAGATTATATTAAGGTTCATTTTGTACATGTATTAAAAAAACACATAAATACTTCACTGCAATGTCTCTATCACCTGTTCTAGATGATTGCTGCCCATGCTGTCACTATCCAGGCTCAACTCCGCATGCCAGGTGACTGGGTCAAGGTGGGTAGCAGAGGGACGTGCGGTAAAACATATTGCTGTAGTGTACTGCCATACTCCAAAGTTTACCAACCCACACTGACCATCGTGGTGAAATGTGGTCAAATAACTCCCACTACCTGCACAGCATGGGGAGGCCGCCAAATCCAGCAGTGGCTGGAGAAAGGCCTGGGAGTATCGTGTACATGCTATATCTATATATAAAAAGGAAAGTTGTGAATATGTGTGTCTGTTCGAAATGTTTAGCATACTTCCTGACATGCAACAAAACTTGACATTTGGCATGTGGGTAGCTTCCAGACTGTACACAATGCAAAAAGTATAAAAATAGACTTTTGTATTTTGGGGGGAGCGCAATAATGCATGTAATATTTTTCACGGCAAGTGAGCGGTGATGTCACATCTGTGATGTCACCAGCATGCGGCAACGTCACGCAGTGTGCCTGCTGACGTCACGCAGTGTGCCTGCTGACGTCACGCATCCCCCCCACCCAACCCTCCGCGTAGGCCGTGCAATAATACAAGACAAGAACCAAGTCTCGGGCGAATTTGGGTTTACTACCCTAACTTTACTAGTTAGTGAAATCATAAAATAATAGCTAAGCAGACTATTTTAGCACGTAAAAAAGTACACCCAAGTAAATCGTCCAGGGGCTTTCCAGACCAATGTTTACCAGTGGCATTTGGTTGGACCAATCCAGTGTTTGGTGTTCGTGAAGTACATTGAATAAAATGTCAGTCAGCCCAACAGCATTTGCTAAACAGATCCCAATTGGTATTGAAATCGCAGAACAGTCTTAAGCCACCGGTAGCTTTATTGGTCACAATTTGATCGATACATTGGCACATGTAAAATAATCTTTGTAAACAGGACAATCTTGTTGGGTGGTCCAGGGCTGATTAAGAGAATTTTGGAATAAAACTACCATGGGGCCAAACGTAAAAACAAATAGATATCAGAATTGTAAACCAGTACAGTATAGAGTTTGCCAACATAAATGCTGAAAAAAAATCATTTTAAGGCACATAGGCTGATTTGTACAGTAGTGAAATGGACCCCGTGTCTTTTTTTTATCTGAAACTAGTGGGAAGCTTGTTTGGCTTAAACAGCAATAAATTACTGTCAGGATCCACAGGAGGCCCATTATGGGGCAGCTTTCCTTGCTTTGGAACAATCAAGCATCCAGGAAACACGCTTACTTTGTTTGAGTCAATTATACTCACTTAAAATTCGAGTAACTCTGCCTGTGATCAAAAAACAAACAAAAAAGACATTGCCAATGTAAAGTGTAGCATCTGCAACCACATTCACTCATCCATCCGTTGGACTGCAGTCACACATTCCATTTTAACCAAAGGTTGACATGTGTCCTCATACCTTACAACCGAAAGACGTGGTCGTTTTGTCCAATTGCTGCAACTGTAATTCTCAAATTGGGACACTTTAAAATGAAATAATAGACAGAGGAAGCTTCAGAGAGTCCATTACCTGTTCTCACCCCGCCACTTGCATCTCTTCGACATGTTTGACGTCTCCTCTTGGTGAACAGAAAACCCAATCGCCATGCTGCGAAGTAACAAGAGGGCCGTTAATATTGTTTGTCTGCAAAAAACGCATAATTAATTTGCGAATGCTTTTTTATTGGAAATTGATCTGTAAAAAAATATTCCCAAAAGGTAACATTATTAAGAGGTTTCTTCTATGTAATAATGATAGCAAGTCAAAGGGTAAGATTGTCTCCCTGACAATATGATTATTTAATGGCATTCGACTCAGCTAATTGACTTGAGCCAGTGATGGAAATTCCACATTCTAATAGTGGGGGGCCAGCTACTCTACAGGGCTGTCCTTGTTGACTTCCCACAAAGTGGTAGTCGTTTTATTGACCTTCGAGAGGTAATGTTTTTTCAACCTCAACTGGCATTTCAACTTAAACCTTTCCTATTGTGAGTTAAGCGGTGTGTGTAAAACTTAGGTTTTCAAACAATAACCGAAAAACTTACAATCGTTTTCAAAACTGATTACTGGTTCCAAAAGTCAAAATCTGGTCATCGTTTTCAGCTTAACTTTAGGAATGAATTCAAAATGCACTGTCACGCGCGAAAATTCACACAGCAGGGAAACCCGAGTTAACGCGTGGTAAATTGACCCTGGTCATTCTCAGTGAAAGGTTATAGGTGCAATCCTGCAATGTCTTGCTTATGCCACTGCTGGCCAAAGAGTCTCAACTCGAGGGAGCTCTAGAGAGTGCAAACCCTACGGGGAACGTTTTGCCTACTCTTCCATGCTGGTCTTTGGAAGAGTTGGGAGTATCCACACGTCACTCCACCACACGCGAAAAATACTCAACTTTAGTGTGAATAGTATTGTTCGCGAAAGCCTACGTGTTAGATTACCTGCACTACCTTTATGTATTAGGTGGATGTAACCCAACTTTATCCACCGCACGTGACCTGCTGACTAACTGCGGTGATCCCATGTATACTTGTGGGTGGATTTAGGAAGATTGCTCACTTTGTGGCAACTGCCGTACCGGGAGATTGAATTGGACTGGCAACCCTTCTGGATGGCAAGCCCAGTGTTGAGGTAAAATGGACAAAAAAATTAAGATTAAATTGTGTGCAGTGAAATAAAGTAAGCAGTAACTGCTGCTATAAATAATGTTAATGTTTATGTGTGTGGTCGAGCCACGATAAAATGGAGGCGTCAACCATTTTATGAATGTCTTCAATGTCTATGCAGTCGTCTGCTAACAGGAAGTCTTGGGAATAACTGCAAACAATGTGAGATAAATATAGCTAACCTGCTCTCAAGTAAAGTCTAACACACGAGAAGATGTTGGTTATATACCATTTTGTTGGTCTTTTTTCCTGTGGTAATTTTTTCATTATGTGCCAAGTCGCCTTTTAAAAGGGCTCGATAGCTTAATGGGTTTTACATTGGGAAATGCACTTTGGACATTTAACACTGACCGATGCCATGAAATAAGTTGGTGTAAACGATTTAGAACTTATTATAAATGTGGGCCATTTTAACTTGCTTCAAATAATTACTGACCCACTTTGGGTATTATAAACCGTGAACATATATTTTAATTTTCATTCAATTTCACACCTCATATGGTTATTATATAAGGACCACTGCTATTATAAGCGCCACTATTATTTTTGAATTAAGATTAAACTTTTGATATGATACTGGGAGTACAGTAAATCAGGTTCAACAGGACAGGCACTTATTGTTGCTGCTCCTATGAGTTTGTATCTTTTATTAGTGTTTATTAAAGATGTAAACGGTTTTATACATGTTTTTTACATTCATAATCACTTAAAATTACTGGTATTCCAACACTATTATTTAACTTGACCTGTTGTCTGTTTATATTCTTTCAAATATTTCATGCTTAATATCTTCGGATATACGCGTGACAATTCAAGAGTTAATTTAAAGAACCAGTCCAGGACCCACCGATCCTGGGCCTCTTCGTGTTTTTTTTTTAAATTTAATTTGTATTACACTATTTGAAATATATTAGAAGTATCCCGCCAATATTGAACTATTTTTATTGTCTGGATTGAGATCTTTGAATGAACATGTACATAGACAAATATTTTTTACAATAACTTTTTTTTATTTGTTAGAAAAAGTTATTTTTTATTCAGTACATCGAATGTTATTAATTCTGTATTTTCTACTTTTGAGTACAAATACAATTGTATGCATTGAAAAACTTGTTTTTGAACCAATTTTTTCTTTTATATTAATAGATTTAGCTAAAACGGCTGTTTTTGTGCGGCCTTCCTGTGCTTCTGCAAAACGCAGCCTGGACTTGCCTTGTGGCACAGCCACAGCAGCGACAACAGCAACAACATAAATGGCAGAAACAACACCAGCAACAGCAGCAATAACATCAACAATAGCAACTAAAAACTAAAAAGATCTTACATTTGACCAGTTTTGGCCCACTGAGCTATATAGCTATTTTCCAGAAGCATCCTGGCCACAAATGATAGCTCAACAAAGTGGCTTATCAATGTGGGAATTGATCTCAGCAGCCAAATACTCTAAACGCACGTTGATTCTAAATGTGTAGGGAAAATCTGGAGGAAAAATCCACGCGACCACGGGGAGAAAGAACATGCAGACTCCAAATACATAGGAGAGGTCAGGCTCGGGATCGAACCCACGATCTCCTGTATACCAGGCGAGGGACATCTGTGAAAAAAGAGCTTCATAGCTCATCGGATTCCTCCAGTATAAATAAAGAGTGATTATATACTTACTGTACAGCATATTCATTCACTTCGTTTTTTGGGATGACCGCTAAAAAGCTCAGATGGTCGATTTCAGGTTGCTTAGCCACTATATTGGGTCACCCGTTGGATTGTGGGCTACACAAATACGTTCTTTATGAAAGTTGTCCATGAAGCGGCATTCCAAACATGTCGAGTAGCCCGTATAACGTGGCGTGACTCGTGTTCAAAGCAATACGTCGTCAATTGTTCCATCAATAATAATGCTTTCATTTTATATAGCGTCATTCATGTTAATAGCAACCCACAAACGCAAAACATTTATTATATAGAAGGACCAAATCCCATAGACAGCCACTACCAAGCGAATAAAAACCCCATACTTTCAACCAAAACAAATAACAAATTAATACATGTCACCAAAACAAAATGCACAAACACGTTATCACAACAATCCCAGCTTCCCAAACCAAGCCAAGAAACCTTCACAGGAGGGGCAGAGTGGTGGAGTGCCTAAAGGCTACGACGATTTAATATCAATCGATATGGTCTGGGTGGTGGCCACGACAAGGGCCATCAAGAGCGGGGATTACTATCAATCGCCATTGTGGGTTGGCAATGGAGCAGTGCGCTAACTACTGCGCCACCGCTCTTCCCATATGTAATACAGTACTGGATCTTAGATAAAAACGACACGGGGTGAAATTGGCACAGTAAAACAATTACACAAGTTATAACGAGGGTAAACACATGGCACATGGAAACGGGACTGTATTAACAGTTAAAAGTCCTGTACTATCAGTTATAGCTAATGTGGTAACCGAAGTACTGTGCTAACAATTACATACAGATCTGAATGGAATAAGCTGATTAAGCCTAACCCTCTGATTATTATTGTGCCATTTTTTTCTCCTAGTTATCACTTGTGCCATATTTACCGGCGTCCTGTAATACTGTACTGTAAAACATGTACGTTGTACTGTCATATAATCGGTATGGATATCTGATTTAACACGGCAAATTGCCAAACACATTGTCTCATGTAAACGCACCCATTCCACGACCTCTGTGTACTTAAGAAATGTCCCTTGTCCCATAACAAAAACTATGCAACTGCAATATTCCTCTACAAGGGATATAACTGCCGTGATGTTATCATGGTTAGCAGCAGCAGCGACACCGTGACCTTGCTGACCCACAGGGTCACCGGTTGGATTCGATTCCCCGGCGTGGCAGCTGAAACAATGCGGAAAGCTTGATTGTATAGAAACATTCCCTCTGTCCACGCAGCGGTTATAAATGGGTAACAACCACAGCGAACAACATGGGTCCTTTCTTGGGAGTATCAAAGTCTAAGAATAGGTTTTACCCTTTCTGGCAAAAATAATACGGGAGGTGCTAAGATGTTCAAACACCAAAACGGAAACCTTTTTTTTAAGGAATCCCGTCTCCATTAACCACACGTACTTGTGGTGAACATGCAATGTGTTTTTTTTCTATCAGAAAGGGTAAAACCTACTGTTATATTTTGATACTTGCAAGAAAGGTCACATATTGTAGCTGCTCACCTCGAGCTAGAAATGTCCTGATAAGTGGCATTGTCTTTGTGCTGGTTGTCTTTTGGCGTTCTCTGGTCCAAACACTTTGAGACTAGGCCCTAGAGAAAGATGTCTCTAGTGTGGATCAATCAGTTTCAAAGACAATGCATCATATTATTAGGGCAAGTATGCTCCAATAATATATATGCATTGTCTTTGAAAGCTTTCGTTACTGCAGGAATTCATACGCTTTGGGTCACGTAGATACAAAAGTAAAATTATTTTTCTATCTACGTGACTTTACAAAGAGTATGAATTCCTGCAGTCACGAAAGCTTTAAATTATTTTTAGAGCATGTATTTTTTTGCTTGTTCGCCACAAGTACGTGTGCTTAATGCACAGAGGATTAATTGTAAAAATTGTTTCTATTTGGTGTTTGAACATAATTAACACCTGTTTCATTGCCAGAAGGGGTCAAACCAATTATTCCAAAGCGCAGTTAAGCCAAATCGGCCTTATATTCTTGGTTTCTTTCGGTAAAGTCACGTAGAAGGGAAACAATAAAATAATAAAAATATAAAACAATAACAATATATGTTTTAATTAATTTATTGTTTCCCTTCTACGTGGTGACTTTACCGAAAGAACCAAGAATATGAATCCCTGCAGTCACGAAAGCTTTCAATCAAAATTCAAATCGGCCTTGTTCACGCGTGGTGGGCTAAAGTGTGGGTACCGCAAACCTCTCCCAACGAAGACAGAAAGTCGGCCAAGTGACATTTCAGACCTCCTCGCCCTTGCTACAGCAGTGGTCAGCAAGCACGAAGAAGGGCCTTCTCCATTGTCTCACACAACCCACACCACCCCCCCACACACACCGCCCTCCATGGCATTTCATACATTTCCCAAAACGGCGAAGTTTATCAGCTTTAAAATGTGTTTTTTTATAATAATCAATTAATCTCGGCCCATAATATAACCGATGGTGGCCCACGGCCTTCCGCGATCAAATGGACAAACGAATCGTTACGCATTCTGCGTGTCAACGTGCAAGTGAGTGGTTAAAGCTCGTGCAATGTCGCCTCCAGCGTTTGTATTAATGTTGCAATCCCCACCACCCTCTTGCGTCTGTTAACAAGGGCAAAAGCTATTACAAAGCGATGGTGGTGGTGGTGGGATATTAAAAGACTTTGTCTTCCCAAGGGGCGATGTTTTACACACCAGGACCGGTTCAGATAATCGTCGTCGGTGTTGGTGGCCTTGAGCCTCTAGGGGCAAGTGCTGTTAGCGAGTAACATTGCCACACTCTCCATTGCCACACTCTCCAGTGTGGCAATGTTTACACACCGCACCGAGTACTCATTTGAGGCTGAGTCGACCTAGGGGAGGCCTAGGACCAGTACTGATAATCGTCACCGGTGTTGGCCGTGAGCGGGAGTCGAACCCGGATCGCCAATGTTCGTAGCGCAGCGCGCTAACCGCTACACCACCGCTCCCCACTGACGTTACAAAACGTGTAGAGAGATAAGGATTCGATGTAATGAATGTACAAGGTAGGCAATTGCAAGCAGATTCATAATATTATGTTTCACAACTTTGAAGAGTTCTACTTACCCGCAGGAGCCGGCAAAATTGGCGTAAAAGCGGAATGTGAATTTTAGACTGGAGGAATCCGATAAGCTACGAAGCTCTTATCTCTTCGTCACTGCTCACACCACACGCTCGTCCTGCTCTCAATGCGTGAAAGTGCAACGTGCAAGTTGTACACCGTGAACTACGACTTAAGGTCCGCCCACCGTTGTAATCACGCCACTTCAACGGACCAGTAACAGATGATGAATAATTCATTAAATGGGATGGCTTTGCTGACGGCCCACCAAACATGAGCGAAACTGCTGCGAATATGAACTTCCGTGCCCTGGAAACTTCCTCAACCCTCGAAGTAGGAAGGAAAGTCGCTTTGATCGGACCTTTGTTATTCGTTTGGACATTCGCAGCAACAACAACAGTGCACGTTGAGACCCAAATTCTGCTTGACTTCAAAATATTTCATATTCTTAGTTCTTTCGGTAAAGTCACGTTGAAGGGAAACAATAAAATATATATAAAACAATAAAAATTCTCACGACGTTTCGACCATAACACAAACGGTCGTCTTCAGGTGTTCTATATATATATTATTATTTTATTGTTTCCCTTCAACGTGACTTTACCGAAAGAACTAAGAATATGAATTACTGCAGTCACGAAAGCTTTAAATCAAAATTCAAAATATTTATTTAGACTGTAGGGTGAATCCGATGAGCTATGAAGCTATTCCTCCCCCCCACAAATGTCCCAGTATGGGCACGGGGTCACCAAAGTTACAGCAGCAAACAACACCCAAAAAAAACCCCGATAGGAGTACAAAATCGAGAAAATGGTAAGCAAGTCACTAAATATAAATCAACGATCTCAGTTTGAATGTATCAAGCTTGGGCAAGGCAGAAAAAAAGTCCCAGACCAGACCAAGATACCACACTGCAGTAATCCCCCAATAAAATTCGCAAATGCGACCGCTGCATCCAGCACTAATCTCTGTGCTTTCAGTATTATTTTAAAGGTAGATTCACGATGTTAAGGGGGTGGGGGGGGGGCTTCTTCACCTATTCCTAAGCTTTGTTTCTAGGGATATTCTCGGGATACCGGAGGGCACTGTGTAAACCACCTTCGCTGGTCAGTGGGTGTCGGTAGCAAGGGTGGAACTTGGCTGCCCTTGCTCCGACAGTCGTCTGTTGGGGCTACGCGGGTGGACCTTTTGTCTTTGGGTGATGGAATGACCGGGTCAGATATCACTCGCTTGCTGGAGCCACTTAGGTGGGCCGTGACCGGGACTCGAACTCGGGTCACCGGTTGTCAATAACGCAGTGCCGCTACCCAAGCCGCGCGCCACCGCTCCACCTAAACTTGTTTATATTTAATAATAGGGGGTTTTCCCCCTTTTTTTCTTGCAACAAAACTGAAACCTTTTTACGAGGATTCACGTCCGCATTAACCACAAATACCCGCAGTCAAAATGCAAACAAACAAACAACATACTATGATAATATATGACGCATTGTCCTTGAAACTGATCGGTCCACACCAAGGGACTGCTTTTCTTTTTGAGCCTCGACCCAATTGTTTATATTTGCAAAAAATAATAAAGTTCCTTGCCAATTGCAAGTACTGTATCTAAAACTGATGCGTGCACAAGCATTTCACGTGCCTTCAACTCGCAGCGACTACCTTGGTGAAGCATGGTCGAGAGATCCTGGAGAGGCCTCATCCAGCAGTGGATTGACACATAAAAGGCACGAGGTTGTGCAGTTCTGTATACAATCAGGGCCGGATTCAGGTTTTGTAGGGCCACGGGCTACAGGTACCATGAGCCCCCCCCCCCCCCCCCCCCCAGTAATATTTCAAACAAAGTTAAAGAAAAAAAATTAAAATGTATTTTTACAAGGCTAACAACAAATAAAATTCAGCATCCACAAATGAAATCACTTTTCGCTTAATCTCTGAAGGCCCCATTCCAGCTGGCGGAGGCCCTCTGGGCTACAGCCCCTAAAGCCCCACCCCACCATGCCTTAATGTATACAGTACGTACATCCCAGCAGTTCAAGTGGCTACGCCCGCAAAAGCTCTCCGGACCTGATGGTGGTGGCGTTTGGCAGTGGTGAATACGCCGCAATGGACACAGGCAAATAAACTAAACAACAACAACAACAACAAAAACGCCTACCTCCTCTTAAGATGTCTTGCCAGCGTTGAGGAGTACAGACCGAGTTACCCTCCAGCTCCCACTTGTCAGCAGCCCTGCTGGTGTCAGAGTGTGTTGAGGAGGGGGGTGGGGTTGAAATCAGCAAAAGAAGTGTGCGGGGATCGCCTCTGCAGCGTCATACCCCTGTGACGTCACTGCCGAGAACACGTGCCGTTGGTGGTGAAAGGAGGGTGCCGCGCACGTGCTTTCATTATTTACTTGTTGTACAGTTTCCAAATTTGCCTGTCTGTCAACCAAAACAAAAAACCACCAAGTAAACCAACTGGAATTGCTTCACGCAAGGCTGGCACTCTGCAGACGAGACAAGACGAGCCCCAGAGTTTGCTTCATGCACAGTACACGGAACTCTTCATTTTAAAATAGCCACTCGCACGTCTGCAATAGGGTGTATCATATACAGTACACGAAGAGCACATCACGTGTGTCAATCCGCTGCTGGATGAGGGCCTCGCCATGCCGTGTTGATCTTATTTGACCATACTTCACCAAGGCTGGCCAGTGTGGGTTGAAGGCAGCCAGCAGAGGGTTTGACATCTTTTTCAATGACCAAACCAGGAACATTTCTTGGTCAGTCTAGGTTTATTGCAACTGTGCTGTAATACATCACACGACTGCACCGCTAACAAAAATTCCTGCCACCAGACCACAGATCAAGCTTTAGAGTGAGGGGTGAAATCAGGACATGCCGAAACCCAAGCACGGTACAACAATGCATTGCACTGCATTGCCCTCTGTTGACGCCATTCTCCAGCAGCAGCCTACAGCACGCAGTTTTCCGAATTAAAAATTGTCAGCGGCGCAATGGTTCAAATTAAAACACTACCTCATAAGGAGAAATATAGAATCGGTGACGTTGCGGGCTAATGAACCTTTATACATGCGTGATTGGTGGTGGAGCAGTGGTATAGTGGTTAAGCACGCTTCGCTATGAATCTGGTGACCCGAATTGGATTCACATCTCTAAACATAAGTGACGGGTCATATCAGAACAGGTTCAGTTTCAGTTTAGTTTCAGTTTATTTTGGTATAGCCCTGTGAGCCATTCGGCTCTTGAATCGGGTGCAACCACAACAAACAAAAAAACAAAAACAGGAACAAGAAAAACATCTTAAAGTGACTATGTGACCGTGCAAACAGAAGATCCATGGACCATGGAAAAAAAACCAGCAAAAATATTCCTGAAAAAAGCACCGTACACCAACGCTGTGTGCAAAAAAATCCCAGTGGGATGCAAGTCAAACAACAACAACAACCATGAAAACTTTGATTAAGGCCATCAGTCTAACTCCGTACTACAACAAAACAAACATGTCCAAACCAAAAAACGTTTTCCGAATCACCAAAAAATAAAGCCATAATTGCAACGAAACAGTGATCACAAGGACTGTGACCGAATTTTTACAATAAACTACATAAATAACATGTAGCACCAAACCCTAGAGCCATAGCTGGCTGCATGAGTTACTCCACAACAACAGAAGCATCGGTCGGAGTATCAAATTTTTCAATGCACCTTTAAGATCAGCACGCTAAATCAAAATACAGATAATGCTTTGCAGCGTCATCCGGAGAGAAACATTTTATTTTACGCCAATGAATAGCAGTGGCAGCTTGGGGTGTACAACTCCTCTAGAGCAGTTTTGAGAGAAGATCTCATTGGTAGCGATTCAAGTTGCAGTTTATTGGCAATAGCATTCCAGACTCTGGGGGCATCAATAGCAAAGGCCCTTCCTCCAGTTTTTGTACGGCAATAGGGAATGTGAAGCTGGTAAATGAGCGAAGACCTGAGGTCAAATTTGTTCTTTGAAACAGAGAGGAGATCCAGCAGGTAGTCTGCGGATTTTTTTGTAAGTACATCGTGAATAAATACAATTTGGTGCACAAGCCGTCGAACATTAAGAGATGTTAAGTTTGACCCAATGTAGAGATCACAGCGGTGAGTCCTATATGGGCAGTTCAATGTAAATCTTAAGGACGAGTGATCGATGGAATCAAGCTTCTTCAGTACAGTCTTAAGGCTGATTTATGCACTATGTCACAGTAGTCAAGTAGAGGCAGTATGGTAGCTTTTATCAATTCCAAACGGAACATTTGGGGGAAGCAGTGCTTCTGTCGATACAGAAAACCAATTTTTATTTTTGTATTTTTACCAATATAATCAATGTGATCTTCAAAATTCAGTTTTGAATCCAGGATGACCCCAAGATACTTATATATTTTGACTTGCTCTATTTGACAATTATTTAAGGAATGTAATTGGGGAAAAAATACTTCCTGCTTTAGTCCTGGTGAGAAGCATAGCACCTTGGTTTTGGAAGTATTCAGGACTAGTTTAAGAGCAACTAGCTGATGTTGTAGTTTGTTGAAATCACCCTGTAGCTTAGCAATCACGTCATCCGGAGAGCGGCCAACAGTAATCAGTATCGTGTCATCTGCAAAAAGATTTACCCTGGAATGATCCAGGTCAGTGCCCAAGTCATTGAAATAAAGAGAGAACAAAAGGGGGCCGAGGATGGAACCCTGTGGAACCCCTTTTGTTATCTTAACACTGTTTGACCTCCAACCATCTGTGAATACAGTTTGGGTGCGAGAAAAGAGGTAATTTTGTAACCATTTTACTGCGTTTTCGGAAAAACCGAGGCAACTTAGTTCACTAAGCAGGGTGTTGTGGTCTACTCTATCAAAAGCTTTGGACCGTCCTAGAAAAAGACAGGCACAGTACTGCTTATTATCAATGCTACTGTAAATGTGATTCAGAGAGTCTAATGCAGCAGATGTGGTGCTGTATTTTTTTCGGAACCCAGATTGTTTTAGATGTAGTAGATTGTTGGTGGACAGGAAACTGCTAATTTGGTAGCTCAATAATTTTTCAAAAATTTTCATCAACGGGGACAAAATTGAGATAGGTCGGTAGTTATTTGGATCATCTTTAGGGCCCCCTTTGTGAAGTGGACGGACATAGGAATGTTTCCATTCTAGAGAAACTGATGCTTTTCTAGATTTAAAGCTTTCGTGACTGCAAGGATCCATACTCTTTGGTTCTATTCAGTAAAGTCACGTAGGTAAAAAATAAAACAACAAAAATCACGACGTTTCGGCCACAACACAAGCGGCCTTCTTTGATGGACATGATGGAATGAATATCAGACCCATGATAGATTGAGATCACTCGCCACTGAATGTTCGCCGTATCCCGGAATTAAACTCACGTGTGGGTTTATAGCCCAAAGGGTGCCTCACCGCTGTTGCCACCTCCAACCAATTGTATTTTATTGGTT